TTATGTGTCATGCATTGGTGTTAGGTGTCACACATATGTTATGTATTCGGGTAAACATTTATAAAAATGCATGTAGGCATTTCATAAAGCTAAAGAAATCTTTTTAACACCATCTTATCTCAAAGCTTAGTGTTTCTGAAAAGTGAAACATAACCATAATCTTTCTATTGGACAACCATGTATTTACAATTTTAGAATCCCTGAAATGGGTGAAAGACGACAGGGTGTTCAGTAAAAAGTATTTCATATGTTCTTGTATACAAACTAGTGCTATATGACCTTGATGTCCGGCGTATTTACTTGTTTTATTTATTTATCATCAATCCTTGTATACAAAGTGCCTCTGTCAATGCTGATATCGGCCAAGATCGGCCAAGGCTTCAGGTGCTTGTGCCACGGTTCTGGAGCTCCTGTGACTTGTCTTCTTGGCCGTCGCAGGGCCTGTAGATGATGACATCGTAGGTGTTGTATCTTGTACATGACGGTGACACTGTCCGCATCCCGGCGATGCTGCTGATACTGCAACGTTGGTGAATGACCCGGGCCTGCATCACGTAAAAAAATCTTTGTTTTTCATACGTTCTTGTACACGGCCCAGCCAGGACAGATTTTTTACTGCAGTCCCTCCCTATGCTAGCGGGAAGTGGCTCGAACTTGTGTTTTGTAAAGGGTATCGAGACATTAGGCGTTTAGTATCCCCGATATTCTTCAGAGGACAGCGGGCTCTGCGGATGGCTTCCCTGCCAGCCCTTCTGTGTGCTCCTAGTAGCTGAGGATTCTGTCATACGTGACTCTGAGGATTTCTTCTCTTCTCCAGGGTGTTCAGTGATGAAGCCATATCTCAGTGAGACGTCTGAGTGAAGCGTGCCAATGATCGCGAAGTGGGTTTTGCGCGGTGTAAAGCCAGATTAGATTCCCAAAGTCGTCTTTAAGGGTATTTGTTCTTGTTGACGGTGGTTGCTCATATCCTGGTGTGTAAGATAATCGAAGGGCCAAGTCATCTGCAAAGGCTTAAGATTCCACAGTATGAGACCTAATATACTCCTTTGTCGAACTCCTATCTGGATGGCTTGAGGAACTAATATTTCTCTATCCAATAAGGCACAAAGCTTCCGGTCACGGAGATGAGACTCATGGTGAGATAAAACATTCCCATTAATGCCTACCGATTTTAACTTTGTCATCAAAACTTTCTCCCACACTCGATCGACAGTTGTTCCTTCGGTGAGCATGGGCAAGCTCCGCCCTGGCCGATTGCTTGCCTCTAGGTGCTGGGTTTTGGGTGAGGAAGAGCAGCAGTCGTATGCTCTTAGCGGAATCCAAATTGCCTTATATAAAGTGAGATGACAGATGTTCACCTAATTCATGTAAAGTGATATGACAGATGTTCACCTAATGCTTGTTTATTTTTTTCTCTCTCTAAAGATCTTGCTCACACTTGATAGAAGCGCAACGGGTCGGTCATTCAATAGATCAGAATCGCTACCCGTTTTGTGAACTGTTACCCTGCGATAGTCTTGGCCAAGTTTGAGTTCTGAAGCATTCCCTTAAAGTAATAGTGAGATGAAGAACTAATTCATCTGTATATCTCGAGATATATTGTCTGGACTTGTTGCTTTAGATACGCCTATATCTCTAAGGAACTTCAGCACTTGTTGATATTTCACACTTTTGCATTAATTATTACAAACACTGATGGTGGAGTAATATTTGAAGGGTAAAAAATAATTTTCTAGCAAAATAACGTGAGATTTCGTCAGTGTTCTTTTGTAAAAAAAAAAAAATGTTTCTAGGGACTCATTGAGCTTCTCTTTCACTATATTCTACCCATATTGGACATTCTTGATTTTTAAAAGAATACTTTATTTCCGTTTTATTCTGATCACCCACTGCCGTGTTCTTGTCATATTGGGAAGCATGATCTGCCGGCTTTTGCTTAGATCTTTTTCCAAGCGTGGTCTTACGCATTAGAGGCTGTCTGAAGCTGTTGTTCAAAGGATGCTTGGTCTCTCCTTTTAGAGGTGTATTTGAGGTGAGGAACTCATTCTGTCTGGAGGCAATGGAAGATTTCCGTGAGTCTTTGTGCCTGTTGACTTTAGCCACCAAAAAGGAGGGGAATAGGGGAAAGGGGGGGGGGGGGCTGTCAATTCGTCAAGTCGCCAGAGATTTTCAGAGAGATTGAATGTCCTTTATCAGCTAGGCTAAATTGGTTCATTGTTCATTGACGTTTCATGCTTCCTATGGGGTTTATTGATATCCTTCCATTTTCCAGGTATTCTCCAAAGAGGAAGAAGATGGTCTTGACGAATGTTCCGTTATACTCGAGAATGTTCCTCGGTCTTGGGTAAGCTGCAGTGAGGCGCTTAGCTTTTGGGATTGGTTAGAGAAAACGAAATATTTTCCCTGACAATTGGCGTCCTACTGGTAGTTGACGTCCATGGAGGGACACCCGAAGTTCAGTTTACGACCTTCAGAAGCAGCCAGTATAAACAGAACTCAGGCATTAATTAATGTCTGTGGGATCTACCTTTGAACTTTGGTTAAAAACCCAGTCGGAAAAAAGTTTTGCCTTGAGGTTAAATGCAGTAAAGATGAAAAATTGTGGAATAAAAGCAATCTGTTGCTTCGTTTAACAAAACTGGTTTTTCTACGAATTTGCATCGAACCAAAGACCTATTTTTATGTTCGTAAAACAGCATTCAGTTCTAAGTTGTAGTTGAAGAACCAGTAAACCTCAAGAATTTTTTTACCGTTATAGATATATGTTCTATTCTAAGACTCCATTAAGCTCCGTCAAAAAAATGTTCGACGTGTTAACCACTCTGATTTTTGTTCAAATATAAAATGTGGTGTGATGGGATGATGTGCTCATTTAGCTCATTTATTTACATAACAAAGTTGTTTTATTTCATTTTCTTGAGAGAGTAGAGCGGAAATGATAAAACCTGCTCAGGATGCCCCACTCTTCCATACACATGTGTGTGTGTGTGTGTGTGTGTGCATGTATATATATAGTGTATATTTATATACACACACACACACACACACACACACACACACACACACACACACACACACACACACACACACACACACATACATACATATATTATATAATATATATATATATATATATATATATATATATATATATACATATATACACACACATGTATATATATATATATATATATATAGATATATATATATATATATATATATATATATATATATATATGTATATATATATATATATATATATACATATATATATATTATATATATATATATATATATATATATAATTATACATATATATGCACACACACATTCACACACACACACACGCACACATTCACACTCACTCACTCACTCACTCACTCTCACTCACTCACTCACTCTCACTCACTCACTCACTCCACTCATCACACACACACACACACACACACACACACACACACACACACACACACACAACACACACACATACACACACACATATAGTATATATATATATATATATATATATATATATTATATATATATATATACATATGTGTGTACACACACACATGTATATATATATATATATATATATATATATATATATATATATATATATATATATATATATTATATATATATATATATATATGTGTGTGTGTGTGTGTGTGTGTGTATGTGTGTGTGTGTGTGTGTGTGTTGTGTGTACATATTTATGTATACACAACACAAACACATACATATATATACAATATATTATATATATATTATATATATATATATATATATATATATATATATATTATATATATATATATATATCTATATATATATATATATATATATATATTATATATATATATATATATATATTATATATTTATTATTTTATTTATATATATGTATGTATGTATTTGTATATATATAGGTTGAAATATATCTAAATTAATAGACAGACAGTCTGTCAGACATAAATAGAAACACAAAAATACGTACAAACAGAAAGATAAATAAACAAATACGTGCTGAAGCGTTCGTGCGAGTGTGTGTACGTGTGTGCGTGCTTGTGCGGGGCGGACCTTTCTCTTGGAAAAATCTCTTCATCTGCGCGCGAAAATTAATCACCCCCCCCCCCCCGTGTCTCAGTTTATAACCACCCCCTTCCCTCCTTCTCCCCCACCCCCGCTCATCTACTTCCTTTCCTCCCCCCCATGACTCCCTCCCGTGTTTTCAAGATTATACTCCCCTTCCCTCCCTTTCTCCCTCCCTCCTCACCTACTTCCATTCCTCCCCCCGTCGCCCCTTTCTTTGTCTCCCTCCCGCCCTCCGTCTCCCTCTCTTGCTCCTCTCGTTCCCCCTTCCTCTCTTTTCTCTCTTCCCTTTCTTCCCCTCTCTCTCCATCCACGCGCTTTTTGCCTTCCATCGTCCATCGTCTCCCGCCTCCTTGACTCTCAGCTACCCTAATCTTTCCTCCCTCCCTCCTTTCGCCTTCCCCTCTTCTTCCCCCCTCCCTTCTCCTCCTTTCCTTCACCTAGCTTCTCTCTCCTCCCTCCTCCTTTCCTTGCATCTGTGCATACCAGCCCCTCCCTCCCTCCCTCCTACGCCCGCATCCTCCCTCCCTTCCCTCCCACTCTTTCCTTTCCCTCCTCCCCTTCCTCTTATTATTCCTTCCTCCCCTCCTTCCTTCCGTCCCTCCCTCCGCTCCCCTCCTCTCCACTCTTCCTTTCTCCTCCTCCCTCTCCTTCCTTTCTTCCCTCTCCTTCCTCCTCACCTCCTTCCTTCCCTCCCTCCCTCCTCTCCTACTCCTGTCCTTCCTTCCCTCCCTCCCCCGCCCCATCCTCCTTCCTTCCCCTCTCTCCTCCCTCCTCTCCTACTCTTTTTTCCTCTCGCCCCCTCTTTCCTTCCATCCCTCCCCTTCCAAACCTTCGCTCCCTCCCTCCTCCTTCCCTTCCCTCCCTCCCCTCTTCCTTTCTTCCCTCCTCCTCCCTCGCTTTCTTCTCTCCTCCGCCCTCCTCCTTCCTGTCCCCTCCTTCCCTCGCCCTCATATCTTCTTCTCACTCACACCCCTCCTTTCCATCCTTTCCTCACTCGCACTCCTCCCTCCTCCTCCCTCCCTCCTTTCCTTCCTTCCCGCGCCTCTCTCCTCCCTCCCTCGCCCTCCCCTTCCCTGCCTCCCCGCCCCTCTCCCTCCTCCCCCCCCCCTCCCCTCCCTCCTCCCATAATCCATCTCCCTCAATCGCTTAAATGGAAAGCACACATCGGTTCGTCTTTCTCTTTCCGCGACCGAGATGGCCAACCTCGCGAACCGGCGCCTCTCCCTCGCTCTCTCCTCCTCCCTAGCCCCCCATTCCTCATTTTCTTACTCTCTTCCTCTGCCCCTTCCTCCTCTTCCTCACTTTCTTCTCTCTACCTCTAAACCCTTTCTCTCTCTTGCTTCTCTTCCTCTCTCTCTCTCTCGTCTCTTCATCTTCTCTCTCTCTCTCTCTCTCCTCTTCTCTTCTCTCTCCTCTCCTGCATCTCTCTCATGTGTCTCTCTCTCTCTCCTCTCTCTCTGTCAACTTTTTTTCTCATCTTGGCGTCCAGGTTCTTTTTTTCCCTTTCGTATCTTTCGCTTCCCCTATTCTTTACTATGTTCCTACTTCCTCATTCCTTTCCTTCTCTTCTCCTTCTCCTTCTTCCCCATCATCCCTTCCGTCCCTCCTCTTCTAACTTCTACCGCCTTTTTTTTTCTCCTTCTGTCCCTCCTTTATATACCGTTGTGATCCCCCACCGGTCACCTGCCCTTTCTTTCTCTCTCTTCTCTCCTTCTTTCCTCTCTCTCTCTCTCTACTCTTTCCTTCCTCTCCCATCTCGTTCCTCTCTTCTCCTCTCTCTCTCCAGGTCTCTCAGTCTCTCGTCCTCTCTCTCTCTCCCTCTCTCTCTTTCTTTTCAATGCTTCTCTCTCCTCTTTCTGCTCTCTCCCCTCCCGGCCTCCCCACCTTCCTTTCTCAACTATAGTTTGTCTCTCTCCTCTCATCCATTTCTATCCTATATGACTCTCTTTCTCTCTCTTTGGTTTCTTCTGTTCTATTTTGTGTCTGTTGACCTCTCTCTCCTCTCTCTTCTCTCTCCTCTCCTCCTCTAAATCTTCGGAGTCTCTTCTCTTCTCTCGTCGTCTTGCTCTCTCTCCTCTCTCTCTACTCGTCTCCTCTCGTCTAGTCTCTCTCTCGTCTCCTCCTCCCTCTCTCTCTCTCTCTCATCCTCTCGGTCGCGTCCTCGTCTCTCTATCGTCTCATCTCTCTCTCTCTCTCTCTCTTCTCCTAGTCTCCTCCAACGGTCATCTCTCTTCATCTCTCGTCTTCTCTGCTCTTCTGTCAGGGTCTGGAATGATCGACTTCCGTTGTGGTCAATGAAGATGGACGGTTCTGGTTGAAGACTCTTATTTGTGTGTGTAGTTGGCTTGTCCGGAGGCGTTGGCCACGAGCGTGGTCGATCTGTTTGTCTTCCTTATACAAAAGCCCAGGAGGGAGAGAACACGCGAGAAGTTCCCAGAAGGGGAGCCTCGGTCTGGTCGAGGGGTCGTGTGTGTAGCAAGACGTTGTTAAGAGCAGGGTCTACGAGTGTTCAGCAGGTCAGGAGTGTTTGGGCGGCTGGCCCTAGTCAAAACCCGCCGCCGTGATTGATTCCTTCAGACTCTTTCCTATCGTTTGTCTGTTCTCTTTCCTCTCTCTCGACATGTTTTCGCTTTTTGTTTCTCTTTCTCTCTCGTCTTTCTCTTCTCTATTTTCTCCTGCTCCTCTCTCCTGACTTATCTCTTTCCCAATCTTACGCCCTTCTCTTCTAGTCATCTCTCGACTTTCTTGTTCCGATCCCTTCTCTCTCTTCTACTCGTTTCTCTGCCTCATCCTTTTCCTTCTCTTTCTTTCTATTTTACACCTTGGTTCTGGGTCTGTGTGTCTGCTGCCTTTTTCTTCCCTTTCTTCTTTTTGTTTTTTTTTTTTTTGTTTGCTTTTTTTTTTCTGTCCTTCGTCTCCTACGCTCTCTCTCTCATCTCATCCATCTCGCTCTCGGACCTCCTCTCGCTCTCGTACCTCGTCTGTCTCAATCTCTCCGTCTGTCTCCCTCTCTTCAATATCTCTCTAATCTCTATCTATCCGCTCGTAATCTATAGTTGACTATGCCTCTCTAATGTCTCCTCGTCTCTTCTCTCTCTCTCTCTTACATGCTCTCCTCCTCTCTTCTGACTCGCTCGTTTTTTTCCCCTCTCTCTCCCTCCTCACCGTCTCTCTCCTTCGAGTCTCTTCCTCTCTCTCCTTCGACTCTCTCAGTCTCTCTCTCTCTCTCTTCTCTCTTCCTGCTCTCTCTCTTCTCGTCTCTCTCTCTTTCTCTTTCTTTCTCTCTCTCTCTCTCTCTCTCACCAGATACAAACCTAAACTTATTTTCCAGATACTCACGCTATAAGTACTTTTTTTTAGAGTATTGCATATTATTATATATTAGTTCACGTCAGAAAAAATA